GGATTGACCCTGCTCAATCCACGGATCTACACCTTCGGATCAACCCTACCCAATCCACGGATTTACACCTTCGGATTGACCCTGCTCAATCCACGGATCTACACCTTCGGATCGACCCTGCCCGATCCACGGATTTACACCTTCGGATTGACCCTGCTCAATCCACGGATCTACACCTTCGGATCGACCCTGCTCGATCCACGGATTTACACCTTTGGATTGACCCTACTCAATCCATAGATCTACACCTTCGGATCGGCCCTGCCCGATCTACAAATTTACACCTTCGGATCAACCCTGCTCGATCCACAGATTTACACCTTCAGATTGACCCTACTCAATCCACGGATCTACACCTTCGGATCGGCCCTACCTGATCCACGGATTTACACCTTCGGATTGACCCTGCTCGATCCACAGATTTATACCTTTGGATCGACTCTACTCAATCTACGGATTTACATCTTCGGATCGACCCTGCTCGATCCATGGATTTACACCTTCAGATTAACCCTGCTCTCAATCTACAGATTTACACCTTCATATCGGCCCTGCTCGATCCACGGATTTACACCTTTGGATTGGCCCTGCTCAATCCACGGATCTACACCTTCGGATCGGCCCTGCCCGATCCACGGATCTACACCTTCGGATCAACCCTGCTCGATCCACGGATTTACACCTTCGGATCGGCCCTACCTGATCCACGGATTTACACCTTCGGATCGACCCTACTCGATCTACGGATCTACACCATCGGATCGGTCCTACCGATCCACGGATTTACACCTTCGGATCGACCCTGCTCAATCCGTGGATTAACACCTTTGATTGGCCCTGCCCAATCCATAAAGCTACACATTCAGTCGGCCAGACTGGTTGAAGGGTTCTTACACCTCAAATCAACAAGTCATCGACCCAATCCACACAACGATCCATCCGACCTAACAAGCTACTATCACTAATTCGCTCAGTCTACACTCATTCGATTAAATCTACTCTCTAAGCTAAATACTCTTTAACTTAAAGAGTAGAGGGCTAACTGTTAAGGCCAAAAATCGTCTTGGGCTTGACAAGGCCCAATAACGAAATAAATATGTCACGGCCCAAGACCTCAACCCAATCCCGATTGGGCCTACGCTTAAAATCACCTTGCGACCTACCCACTCTATGAGTTGGGCTATCCTATAAGTTAAACTAAACTGGGTTTCAGCCCATTAGCCTGCAACAGTTTATAAATAGAAAATCAGAATCCTATTCTATTTCCTCTTATACTAAGATTTCAAATCATACTCAAACTATTAAACTTAATCTGATAAGGTCAAGAAATCATATATCTTTCATGATAGGGATTATCTCCCAAAATAGGACTTAGTGTCCTACTAAGATTCCAAATCTTATTTAAACTATTAAACTTAATCTGATAAGGTCAAGAAATCATATTTCTTTCTTGATAGGGATTATCTCCCAAAAAAGAGGACTCAATGTCCTACTAAGATTCTAACCCCTTGGGTTCACTATAAAAACAGAGGCTTGCCCTCTCATTAGGGAGGCAATCTCCCATAGTCAATCTACACTACTCAAAACCATCTATTTGCTCCTAAAGTTCTTGCTCCCAAGAACCCGACGCCTCCACCATAATTCTAGCCTCCGACAAGACTCCTGGTAATTCTTCATCTCCTTAATTCTTATCAAATAATCTCTTTCAGCCTCGCTGACTTGAGCGTCGGAGTGCCTACGGCAAACACCACCCCGGTGTTTTCTGGAAGCTTCACGCTTGCCCTTTCATGTGTGCAGGTCTAGCGGATTGTCAGTAGCCTCAACCTCACGGGATTAGACCCTATTTTCATGACGGTAGATTTTTTGCATCTACAAATGACACAATCAATGTGTGAAAGGCATAGAGAAAATGTGTAAAAAAAAAAAATTACTAATACTTGGGAATTGAGAACTTTTATGGATATATTTGAAATGATGTATTGAAAATTATTTGAAATACAATTGCCTAACAATAAGACTACATTGACCAATTGAAATACCGACTGACACATCCTGACTGACGTGTCAGTTTACGTGGCATATGTCAACATCAAATTCACGCCACGTCAGACCCCAAAAACTTAAAAAAAAAAAAAAATTAAATTAAATACCCTCCAAATAAAAAATTTCTCCCAAAAATTTCACACCTTCTCCTAAATCAAATTTCACTCATTCCCCTAAATCAAATCTCTCTCCCAAAATTGAAATTGCTCTCCCACCACCACCACCCTACCACCAGCACCGTGGGCTATCGTCTTCCACCACCACTTGCAGTAGTCATTCGGTCTACCTCTTCCACCAACGCTCTATCCTTTACAAGACCCACACTTTTCGAGCATCTACCACCACCGTCGTCTGTCCTCTAACATCACCACCACTCACAGTAGTCCATAACGGAAAAATTACGGCTTTGGCAGGTCAGGTTGCAGCGTGTACCCTGTTCCAGCATGACTCGCAGGAGTCCTTAACGGAACAGAGAAAGGCAGGAGGATATGTGACCTAGCTAGTGGTAAATCATTTATTTTTTTTAGATTGAAAAGTGCATGGGAGACTCTGAGGTAGACGTTGACAATCCTGTTCTAAAAGAAGAGCAGATGCCCAGGTAATATTTTGTACTGTTATTAAATTTTAGTACATCTTGGTATGTTTCAGTATGTTTAGGCACATAAAGTTACATTATGCAATGCTTTTCTTTTCCCTTTCTGTTTCAAAATTGGTGTTCTTAGCTCAGTTGTACATAACCACGTTGATAAGAGCATTTTTATTAGTAAATTTAATACTTTCCGAGAAACGTTTGAGACTTGACAATCTCTCGGGTGCGGGGTAAAATTAACCCTTTCAAATAAATTTTTTGCTGCTTCAGTACAAAAAACCTTAGGGGTGGCAAATGAAATTTACCCAAATCATATATCCCACTAGATCGCAAACTAACATTTGCGTTTCAGTCGCAAATACTACCTAAGCTGACGTCGTTTGGCGAGAACTCTGATTCTTCCCGCCCACTTGCCACCGCCAACTCTCAGTCGCCCATAGATTACGGCGCTGATTCTTAGTAATCCAATATTCCTTGAATTAAACGCATTATAAGAGGTTTTGCGTTATTATTGACACTTACAAAGAATTTTTTGGATTATGCCAAACCTCCAAAAGTTTAAAGTAAAGAGTAATATTACACTTACAATCTAATATTCTCACAAACTTTCGCTCACAAATCAAACATGATAGCTCTCAAAGTTTAACAATGAGTCATGTCTGACTAATTATAAACTGACCAATTACGAGTTACCATATCAAAGTTGTGAGAGAGAGTTTGTAAAATTGGATTGTGAGTGGATCTTTATTGTTAAAATAATAATCCCTAATAAATAATTGGTTTGCTTTGTTAAGAAGCTAATCTCCCTTGTCAACGAAAGAAAACCATATGATAAATAGTAGCCGCCCCCTCTTTCTATAGATTTTCTTTCGTTGATAGAAGAGATTAGCTAATTCAAGAGGTTATAATATTATCCTATTCCTTTGACTCGAGAGATTAGCTTCTTCAATGGAACATACCGATTATTTATTATTATTGCACCCAATCCCACAAAAGAAACCTTAACACGTACCTTATTATGAAAAGATCAATCACTCTCTCTTCTAAATGTTTTCATTATTTAACATTGGACTCCATTATATATGATCAATTAATCATTAAAAAAAATATTTCTTTCTTTGACTTGGATCAAATCCCTTAGATCATGTACGAAGTATTGTACATGGGAATTAATAGTATCCGGCCCTATTTGGAAATATTTTGGATCAAAAAAGCTAGTTCAAAGAGAGTTTGTTTGCTTTTATCACTTTTCACTTAAATTTAAAACTTTTTAATATCTTCACCAATAGTGCCCGAAATTGGTTGTCGGAATTCGATGACCGGAAAATCTTTTGGCCTTAGACAAGGCCATCACAACCTTGGCTTGTTAAGGCTATCGATGTTAGGAGATCACACAACAAAAAACATACATCCGAGATAAATAACATAAGATTAAAATCACACCACATAAAGAGACTTGATATTTACGTGGTTCGGCATAACCCTCCTATTTACTATAGTTTCATGAACACGATATACATGAGTACACAACACCATAAACTCGGTACATAAAATAAAGCAGAAACAAATTCTAGTTTCTAACCACGCTCAACCTAGTACATAGAGCGGAAACAATCCCAGTTTTAAGACACTCTACCCATAGTATTTAATAACCCTTACATCAAATACCCTATTTTCTCAGATTCTCTCATAACCTCTAATTGGTTCACACCCCTATATTTATGGGTAGGATATAAGATATTCTATTTCTAATACGATTCATATTTCAATTTCTAATAAGACTCCATAATTTTACTCCTATTTACAATTGTATTAATTATTGAATAGTTTTCTTAAAGACATACAATTTCACGTGAGAATAAATAGGAAAGCGAGTCATAATATCCCAACAATCGTAGCTGCACAAACAAGGTTGCTATTGCGACCTTGAATTTTTAATTAAAAGTTTAATATGTTAATTTGTAATTTAATTAATATTTTGGAATGTTTGACGGGTTGATATTGTTTGTTTCGATGGGTGGTTGTGTCTGTGATTCTAGAGGCTTAATTTTTATTGATGGAGGTGATGGGGGGTGATGGTGGGGGTATGATTGAGAAAATATGTAAGTTAAGGGTTCGAACGACGGCGATGGGGGTAAGAATACAATATTAAGTTGTCAAAATGTCAAACCCCTTGGATCATGTACGAAATATATTATAAAATACTAGCCGGCCCTATTTGAAAAAAATGTATGAAGAAATGAAGAAATATATTATTTTTTTCCCAACAATTCAGTCGTTAATACTGTTACCAACTGCTTATTAATTGTTAATCAGTCTATAAATGAACACACTCATCATTTCAATTATCATTTTATTTCATTGCAATTCTCCTCTTCTTGGTATCAACAAGATGGCTTCAGTAGAAAATATGGTGGCAGAAAGCCAGAGAACTAGAAGAAGAAAAGCTCAGGGCACAGCTTCAATTCTGACAATCGCCACCGCAAATCCACCCAACATTTTCTACCAAACTGATTATCCTGACTTCTACTTCGGAGTCACCCAAAGTGATCAACTCACTCAACTCAAAGATAAGTTCAAACGCATTTGTAAGTGCATAATATCGATCCTTCATCATACTATGAAGCTATCACAGCTGTAATCTTCATTATACTTCATAGGTTTGCAGGAGAGACGGACGGATTAATATTGCTTTAATTTCTTGCCATTTACAGGTGAGAAATCAATGATAAGGAAACGACACATGCATTTGAGTGAAGAAATCATCAAACAAATCCCAAACATGACAACTCTCAACTCTCCATCTCTCAATGCTCGTCAAGAAATCCTGGCAACTGAAATTCCAAAGCTTGGCAAAGAAGCTGCATCGAAAGCCATCAAAGAATGGAACCAACCCCTATCAAATATCACCCACCTCATCTTCTGTACTTCGGCTTCCGCTGGAGAGATGCCCGGCGCCGACCACCAGCTCACCAAGCTCCTCGGCCTTCCACCCTCTGTTCAAAGACTCATGATCTATCAAGGCGGTTGCTTCGCCGCAGGTTTAATATTATTGTTCTTTTATAGTAATTATAATTATATTTGACTTATTTTTTTGTTAAATAACTAGCTCCGCCGTTGCTGGTTGCAGGCACCGCTCTCCGCCTCGCCAAGGACATTGCAGAGAACAATGCAGGCGCTCGTGTTCTCGTCGTAAGCTCTGAACTCATGCTTGTCTGCTTTCACGCACCTTCAGACACATACTTGGACGTTATTGTCGGCTCAGCACTCTTCGGTGACGGCGCAGCCGCCGTGATCGTAGGCGCTGATCCTAACAAAACCACGGAGCGTCCACTGTTCGAGCTCGTCTCGGCCACTCAAAAACTCATCCCGGACTCAGCCGACGGCATCGTGGGACACGTTCGCGAGATGGGCTTGCAATATTTCTTATCCAAAACCGTTACTGAAAAAATCGCCGACAATATTCTTCAATGTTGCGACGAAACGTTTTCTAAATTCGGGGTCAGTGACTGGAACTCGCTGTTCTACATTGTTCATCCCGGCGGGCCGTCGATTCTACGGGCTGTGGAGGAGAAACTGGGGCTGAAGGAGGAGAAACTGGAAGCGAGTTGGGGTGTGCTGAAGGAATATGGTAACATGTGGAGTTGTAGTGTGTTGTTTATACTCGATGAGATGAGGAAGCGGTCTATGGAGGAAGGGAAAAGCACCACCGGTGAAGGGCTGAAGTGCGACGTCCTGTTCGCGTTCGGGCCGGGGCTCACGGTTGAGACGATTGTTCTGCGAAGCTTTGGCCTGTGAGGGACGTGATCATCTTCTTCGACCTTGTGGAGAGTTTATGTGTGGTTAATTAATTGGGTATAAATAAGTAAATAAATAATGTATAATAAATTATTATATTACACACTATACATTTGTAGGAGATCTATTAGCTTTTTGTGATATACAGTAAAACGTCTCTATAGGTATAATGGTAGGATAAATTAATTTTATTGCTCTAAAGAGGTTATAACTTAATGATGATGTAGTTATAAAAATTATTGTTTTGATTTCTTATTTTATAATTCATGTTTAAGTACTACAATATTAGAATTTTAATTTATGCTTTAGTAGTATTAAGATTTCAATTCAGCACTTTAATTGTCTACTTTTGAAACAGATAGAAGATTGTGTCTTGGAACAAACAAAAATAAGTGTTATGAAACTATAAATGCAGTTGATGGAACTATAAATGTAGTTTATGCATAGTCAATTGATGTAGAGCCACAGACAATTGTCAATGGTTTTAAGCACTCAAAATTAGGACATTCGATGTTGATGAATTGTAAGTTACAAATGAAGTTGATGAAGAGAATAAAAGAGCCATTGCAGAATTGAGTGATAAGATTCGACAACTTCATTGCACTAATCGAATAAATATTAATGTATTTCTTGATCATCCAAATGAGCAATAAATAATGTATGTTTTAATAAAGAAGAAATCATTGCTACAATTTAATAAGAAGAGAAAAGAAATAATCTTGAGGATGATAGTATGGAAATACAAAAAGTTTTATGCTATGAAGCTCTAAACATGCTTGAGAAGCTAAATATATTTTGGCTTCAATAAGAAGCTGTCCATGCTAGCGAGTTATTATGTACTCACAAATTAAAAGATGTGATAACAACTCTGAAGCATAAATTATTATCTCAAATAACTTTAGATAAATATTTTATTTCATCTTAAATCTTTAATGCAACATAAAATATATATTTTTGTAATATACAAATAATTATTACTATGTGGAGATGACTTTTCTTAAAGTGGGAATTAATAAAAATTATAACTTATTACAATATAGAGTTTATTCTTATTTATAACTATCACAAATTGGGACTATAATTTTTTATGACTATATATAATTTATTCTTATATAAAGTATCACTATAGAAAGGTTTTACTGTATTTAAACGTTTTTTATTAGTAAATTTAATACTTTCCGAGAAACGTTTGAGACTTGACAATCTCTCGGGTGCGGGGTAAAATTAACCCTTTCAAATAAATTTTTTGCTGCTTCAGTACAAAAAACCTTAGGGGTGGCAAATGAGATTTACCCAAATTTATATATCCCACTAAATCGCAAACTAACATTTGCGTTTCAGTCGCAAATACTACCTAAGCTGACGTCGTTTGGCGAGAACTCTGATTCTTCCCGCCCACTTGCCACCGCCAACTCTCAGTCCCCGAAAGATTACCGTGCTAATTCCTAGTAATCCAATATTTCCTGAATTAAACGCACTATAAGAGGTTTTGCGTTATTATTGACATTTAGAAAGAATTTTTTGGATTATGCCAAACCTCTAAAAGTTTAAAGTAAAGAGTAATATTACACTTACAATCCAATATTCTCATAAACTTTCTCTCACAAATCAAACATGATAGCTCTCAAAGTTCAATAATGAGTCATGTTTGACTAATTATAAACTGACCAATTACGAGTTATCATATCAAAATTGTGAGAGAAAGTTTGTAAAATTAGATTGTGAGTGGATCTCTTTATTGTTAAAGTAAAATCCCTAATAAATAATTGGTTTGCTTTGTTAAGAAGGTAATCTCCCTTGTCAACGAAAGAAAACCATATGATAAATAGTAGCCGCCCCCTCTTTCTATAGATTTTCTTTCGTTGATCGAAGAGATTAGCTAATTCAAGAGGTTATAATATTATTCTATTCCTTTGACTCGAGAGATTAGCTTCTTCAATGGAACATACCGATTATTTATTATTATTGCACCCAATCCCACAAAAGAAACCTTAACACGTACCTTATTATGAAAAGATCAATCACTCTCTCTTCTAAATGTTTTCATTATTTAACATTGGACTCCATTATATATGATCAATTAATCATTAAAAAAAATATTTCTTTCTTTGACTTGGATCAAATCCCTTAGATCGTGTACGAAGTATTTACATGGGAATTAATAGTATCCGGCCCTATTTGGAAATATTTTGGATAAAAAAAGCTAGTTCAAAGAGAGTTTGTTTGCTTTTATCACTTTTCACTTAAATTTAAAACTTTTTAATATCTTCACCAATAGTGCCCGAAACCGGTTGTCGGAATTCGATGACAGGAAAATCTTTTGGCCTTAGACAAGGCCATCACAACCTTGGCTTGTTAAGGCTATCGATGTTAGGAGATCACACAACAAAAAACATACATCCGAGATAAATAACATAAGATTAAAATCACACTACATAAAGAGACTTGATATTTACGTGGTTCGGCATAACCCTCATATCTACTATAGTTTCATGAACACGATATACAAGAGTACACAACACCATGAACTCGGTACATAAAATAGAGCAGAAACAAATTCTAGTTTCTAACCACACTCAACCTATTACATAGAGCGGAAACAATCCCAGTTTTTAAGACAGTCTACCCATAATATTTAATAACCCTTACATCAAATACCCTGTTTTCTCAGATTCTCTTTTAACCTTTAATTGGTTCACACCCCTATATTTATGGGTAGGATATAAGATATTCTATTTCTAATACGATTCATATTTCAATTTCTAATAAGACTCCATAATTTTTCTCATATTTACAATTGTATTAATTATTGAACAGTTTTCTTAAAGACATACAATTTCACGTGAGAATAAATATGAAAGCGAGTCATAATATCCCAACAATCATAGCTGCACAAACAAGGTTGCTATTGTGACCTTGAATTTTTAATTAAAAGTTTAATATGTTAATTTGTAATTTAATTAATATTTTGGAATGTTTGACGGGTTGATATTCTTCGTTTCGATGGGTGGCTGTGTTTGTGATTCTAGAGGCCTAATTTTTATTGATGGAGGTGATGGGTGGTGATGGTGGGGGTATGATTGAGAAAATATGAAAGTTAAAGGTTTCAAAGGCAGCGTTGGCGGGAAGAATACTATATTAAGGTGTCAAACCCCTTGGATCACGTACGAAATATATTATAAAATACTAGCCGGTCCTATTTGAAAAATGTTCGAAGAAATATATTATAAAAAAATGGACAACCGTTGAAGTAATTGCTGGACTACAGTTGCTGGCCGTCGACGATTGTTTCCGATTACTGGGTGTAGCCGGGATCGACGTGAGTAATGTGTGTGCTATGTTCGAATGGACAGCCCGATACCAAATCAATTAATTAATCCTCACGGGGTCTTTTTCAAGACTAAAATAGTAATTATGTAGCTACTTTTCCAAACAAATATATAATCTTACTTGATAAGCAAATCCCAAATGCAGCTTGCATTATGCCATTATTTATTTCAAATTCATTGTTTAATATAGAGTTCATCAAGTTCAAACCTTAAGGTATTGGTTTCTCTAAATAGAGAAGGTAATTTGGATGGGCAAAAAATTGTCTTAGGCCTTATCAAACCTATACCTGAAACACCTACTATATGACCCAATTTTGATTAAGCATACTCTAAGATTCATGCCATAGGCCAGCCCATTACACCAACCAGACAACTAGCGAGTTGGACCTTCCAAATTACTAAGGCATTGCCCCAAATTAGGCCTTGCTGTTAGTTCATTTGGGCTCAGGCCCATCGGACCATGGTTGCTTCATAGAACTTAGAGTTCTGTTCATATCTTTATTCCTTTACATCCTATTTTATCATTCTAATTCATCCAATATCCCAATCTTAAATGAATTAGGACTCTTATTCCTATAAATCAAGACTTTCCTATTTACTCAAACTCTACTATTATGAACTTAGAGTTCAACTAGGATTCAAGCTCCTAAACTCATTATATAAATAGAGGTTATGCCTCTCATCCAATATTCAATCTCAATACCATCTATGTGCTCCTAGGAACCACCTTCACCGTAGTTCTTGTCCCCTTGGTTCTCACTAAATAGTCTTTTTCAATCTCGTTGACTTGAACGTCGGAGTGTCTACGGCAAACACTACACTGGTGTTCCCGTGAGCTTCACGCTTGCTTCTTTACGTGTGTAAGTTTAGCAGATCATTAATGACTTTAACCTTATAAGATCAGTCCGTTTTATAACAGTAGATTTTTACCGTTTACATAATTGAAATGCAATAATAATATTGTCAGGCCTTGGAGCTCAGTATAGACTAAAAAGTAGAGCAATCACCGATAAGGTACTAATTTCCTAGGTTAATGGAACCAGATCCCCACCACCAACAAATATAAAACTTCAAATATATATCATTAAGTCAAAAGAAATTATAAGAAATGTTTTTTGGTTCCATCGAAGAGATAGCATGACAAGAGCAAGATTCACATTTTTTTTTTTTTTTTTCTGGAATCAAGTAATGAAAGTAGTATTTTACACATGGTATTTTGATAGATATATATACAATAATAATAATAATAATGCATAGTCCTCTTAATTGATAAAAATAATTCAAAAAAATAAACCAATTTACAAAATAAAAGGATATATGTGCATATATTGCAAAAGAAGAAATTTATGATAATAATAAATACAAATATTGTAAGTATTTTTGTCAAATTATAAATTCAGTATGGTAAAACTGACTTTTGTTGTCATAACATCGCTTTCTTAATGCATAATTCTTTTATGTTTTTCTGGTGTCATGACACTGAGTGTCCGCGTGATGACACTTGCCCAAGCAGGTTTTATATACACATGTTGTGTCTCCATTTGAAGTTAGGATTTTATTCTTATTTGAGACATGATGTGTAAGTGGTCCTAGTACACTTGTAATTAGCTCATTGGGTGGATCAAAAAATTCGTTTTGCTTTATTGTGATCCATAGAAAGTTGATGAAAATTTTCCCAAAATGGCAAAACTCAAAAAAGGTTGTCAGTTGGCTGTCCCCTGGCATTGGTGCCAAGTTTCTTTATATTTGTCTTCTCCAATGCATTTTTTTCAAGCTCGAATATACCTCTGAAATT